CTGTTTTAATGGAAATCTCTAAACAGACCCTGCAAATAGAGATGTTTCATATTTTCAATAATTCTATGCTACTCAAAATATTTTTCCCTAAATGAAACCTCCCCTTGATAGAAATATGTTTGACTTTACTCATTTTCAGTAATGCCCCTGAGAGTGCAGGAACTGTTATTATAATGATTTTTTTTTTTAATGCAGTCTAGGCTATAGTTTACTGATGAGATTCTATTCATGTATATCATATGTTGGCTTGATATTACACATTGCTGAATGTTTTGCCACTTGTTTGATTCATGTGCACAGACTGAATCCCATGGACTGCACATATTAAGCTACCAGATAATAATTAGTAGTATGGAAATCTCTTCTATGAACATTTTAGTAATGGAGGATGTATCATTCTAGATGAAGTGAATGAGAAGCCGTATAATTGGCGGAGAATTATTACTAATTTTGATTTGGGTTTCCAAAGAATGTGCAGTAAATGGCCAGTGAATTAAGGAGGACATCTAAAATATGAAACGTAAATACTTTTTGCTATCAGCCAAACACAAATCTAACACCTGGAGGCATTTCCCATCTTTTACGTTTCATATTGATGGTGATGGGGTGATGATACATTCACTTCCAAAATAGTTCTGATCTACTAAATTTTAACTTAGTTTTACCTCTTTCTCCTCCCAAGCTCTTGGTACATATTTGAATGTTGAGGATTAACCTTGTTTAGCCTCCTCACTTGCCCTTACTCTTATTGCTGCCTTACTGTCATAGTCACTGGTGATTTTAGAGTCTGAGGTAGGAAATAATTGGTATAGTAGAATTCAGACTGAGACCCTGAGACCATTGCCTGGAGGTTGATTTGGGGGGAAGGGCAGGGTTGTGTGTGTGTGTGTTTAAGGCTGTGCTAACACTTGTCATCTATGAAGTTATCATGTTTATAGTTAGGTTTAAACATTTCACATTTAAGGAGAAAGCTGGAATAGTGTTAGGATTCAGTTAAAGTAAGATTTAAGTGTTGCTACTTCAGCTAATTGCTTTCTTCTTAAAAATCATTAATTATGTTTTTGAAATCTCAGAAATGTTTTTCAATTACTGACTTATCAAATTTGCATTTTGTTAAGCAATACGAGGATTCTCTCCACCACATAGAATCTGCAGTTTTGAAGAGGCAAAGGGTTTGGATAGGATCAATGAGAGAATGCCACCCCGGAAAGATGCTGTACAGCAAGATGGTTTCAATTCTCTGAACACCGCACATGCCACTGAGAACCACGGGACTGGCAACCATAGTGCCCAGTGACCCACGGCTTCCCAGGGACTCTCACATCTCGGGCCCCAAATGGACAGATCACCCGAGGAGCTGGAGGGGTTGGCCAAGCTGACTGTAAATGTCACAGTCCCTCTGAAAAAACCATTGTGCTTTTGAGACCCCAGCCCCCTTCCTGGATGGAGGCTTGAGGGCCCTGGGACATGTGCTATCTGATAAGATTGGGTCATCGCTGCCAAATTGGAGAGCAGTGAGCAAGGGGCTTGGGGCAATTTCCAGTGGAGGCCATTCACACCTCCATTTATGCTTGTGGTTCACACATTTAAGTTTACAAATGAGATTTCTTTCCCCCCTCAGTAGAATTAGATTTTGTTTTTCAACCATGACTTCAAATGCAAATCCTAAGAGCAAATGTGGACTTTTTTTCCCCATGAAATGTCTTTAAAGGATGAATTAGCATGGTCTTAAAATATATTTCTGAGGTTACTAGCTGTATTTCAAATTGTGGGCAAAATGCTAAGAAACCCAGTTGGCATTTATACAAAATGCTGACCTCAGGTCTATAGTTCTTAAATGTGGCTAATTCTGTAACATAGTCTTGGTATTTTTCAGTTTTGAATGCATAACCTATTTCTAGGCAGACTGTCTTACTTGAACACAAATCTAAAACTTAATGTAGAATCTTTTTTGCCCAGATCTTTTGAGATTTACACCCCAGAGATTTAAAAAGAAAACCTCTGAATTTCAAAATTATGAAGAATTACAGAATTACTCATTTAAGGTACTTTAAGAGAAGTTTGTACATTGTCAAAGTAAATTTTAATTCAAATCATGTCTGTAAAACTTGACGTATTTTGTGTATGCATGTTTTCATTTTGCAAATATTTAATATATAGACCTATGATGTACAGGTACGACATGTATAGGTTACCTAGATGTTATGAGAAATTTTAGTTTATTGTGAGTACTCAAGTTGCTTAAATAGCCACCAGGATGATTTGCTGCTGGCTTTCAATACTTTTTATGTTTTAATGCAAAGGAAATTTTAAAATGTTCTGGAAGTGTTTTTGATTAAGCAATGCAGCCTAGAAGCAATGGTTCTGTTCAATCATTCAGATATTAGTGGAAGCATAAAAGTCAAGACTGCATGTTGAAATTTTTCTTTTGATAGTTACAGAACTGCTTGGTTAAACTAAATGAACCATGTGCTAATTTTGCACAATTACTGACCTGTATTGATTGCCACTGTAGTTTGGTATTTCTCTTTACTTTGGTGGCCTGCTTCCCTCATGCCCTGGAAAACAACTAAGAGCTCCAGGCAGCGGAACCATCTGTTGTTTTGTTTGCCAGAAAGTGCACCCTGTATGGTCTCCTGTCTAAGTTGGAAATATTATGCATGTGCAGGACTAATCGAGTATTTTATAAACAGTAGCACACAATAAATTCCATGCATGGGCCGCTGCTCCTATCTCTGTGTTGGGTTTTATTTGGGAAGATGCAGTCTGATTTGGCCTTTTGATGGAAATCAGAAAATCCTGTTAATAGAGCTGGGATATCCTTTGGAAAATATTATTTCATGGATAGTTCATGATGATTTGGTGAATTAAATTCTTGTCTTCATAAATTTTGCTTTTTTAAAAATACTTTTATTATTCTTGTTTTACATGAGCATTAATAATAGAGCACTAGAGAACTTTGGATGCCTAATATAGGCCTCCTAAATCTAATACATATTTAAAATCACTGTTTTCCTTATCTTTTCATTGAATGAAAATATGTTATTGTCTAGAATTGGTAATTTATTGGGTGTTTTAATAATAAGAAAAAATATTGTGTTTTCCTAACATCATATTTCTTTCTTCTTTGCCATAATCAAAATAAGTATAGGAATTTGCAGATTGAGGGAAATTAGGATATTGCTTAACACTTTTTATTATAATCAGATAATAACTTTAATTACAGTTCTCCACAGTAATTACAATGATATGCATCATAAAGCATTAATTTAAATCAAAATATATATACTTGCCTAATTCCAGGTAACAAACAAAACCCGAAGTGTTGGTTATTATAGCTTCTAGTTGCTGTAATATTAACTTGCAAACCAGTCCATGAGCTGCCTCTGAAGTAATTATGCACTGTATACCTTAAAGATTCTTCTTGATGTTACTGTTTTATGAAAGCTATGCATCTCTAATGTAAGAGCTTGGCTAGTATATCAGATGCCTTAGTCCTTAGGTTTATCACTATGGTTATATAGTGTTTGTGGGAATCATGGATAAACATAAAGGATCATTAGCAAACTAGAGGAATTATGGATTGATGATAAAAAATTAAGAGAAGGAAAGTAAGAAAGGAACAGAACTCAGAAAAAGTGGTATACGTGAAGAGTGGTAGAATATCACCCAGTACCTCACACACTACTTCCTGTCTGTTGAATAGGAACCTCTTTCTAGTCTTTCTTTATAATTAATTTCACAATGAACCATTTATTAAGATATTTTTAATGCAACTCAGATAAATGCAAACTGTGAGAAGTTCAGATCTTTCTAAATTGTAACTTTAAATGTCTATCAGTGCAGGTAGTGGTGATGGTAAAATATAAATTACTATTCAACGTCAAATTTTTTCTACATATCATTCCCCTTTATATTCAAAGATGACACTTCTGAATTAGAAAAGTCAATCTCTGACTTCTTGTACCTTCTGTAGTTCAGCCATTACTTTTTTTTTTTTTTTTTTTTTCTTTTTTGTCTTTTTCCGTGTCCGGCAACGGATTGCAACCCTCAGTGTCGCCCCCGTACCGGACCGGGACCGGCAACGGGATCGCAACCCTCGGTGTTGCCCCCGCGCCTCGCTCAGCCAGTGAGCGGGAACCGGTCTGTATGTGGGATCCGAACCCTCGGCGGGAGCGCCGCCGCGCTTCCCAAGCGGCGCACTAGCGCAGTGCGCCACCGGGCCGGCCCTAGTTCAGCCATTACTAATAGAAATCATAACCTTTGAGGTTCTCAGTTAAATTTTGAGGCCAATTAAATTTGAGGTTGGCCTGAAACCTTTGCTGAAAATGAATCATCCCTATTTTATTCAAGATTGTTGCCGTTTGCAGCTGATTTTCCTTTGTCCGTAGTTATTGTACATAACATTATATAATGTTTGCAATGTCCTTAATGCTTCTCTTCTACCTTCCCTGCTTGTATTTGTGCTTTCTACACTTTGGAGTTTCTATGTGGATTTGATTTGCTGCATTCCAGAACCTCATTGCAAGTGGTTCTCTTCCCCAGTTTGACATTCACAGAGGCAGGTAAGTAATAGCTGGGACCAGATGTGAGCAAAAAGTCAGGTTTTGCAGTCATGTAGTACCACTGTTGTAACAACTGTTGATAGGTTCTAGAGCTCTAAGTGGCAAGGAGCTAGGAACGGGGAATTGAGTTCCCTGGATCAGCATCTATTACAAGAAGGAATGAGAGGACAGTTGAGTTGATTCTTTTCTACTTTCTGTTCCTAGCAATAGTATGCATTTTTACTTATTAGCTAAAATTTGGGTCTTGCTTACTTTAATATTCAAGTAACATTTATTCCTCTTTTGAAATAAACACTCTCACTCAGAGAGTACTTTGCTTTTCTTTCAGATAAAGTGAACGTTGCAAGTTAATTCTGCATGTTTCCCCTACAGTTGATTTCCTTCTGCACCATTAAATGAGCATTTCTCCTCTCCTTTCTTGGGTATTATATTTGTACTTAAACCTAGACTGGTCTTGTTGAGTTCTGTTTGAGCAGTGTCTGTTATGCTAAAAAAGGACATTAGGCTTGGGGGGTCTCATTCTGGGGCTAGATTGACATCCAGGACTTCAGGGGTTACTATTCCTCTGGGCTAGTGCCTACTCTTTCCAACAAAATATTGACTTCTGAACTATTCCCAGGGCTTTTTTGTTTGTTTGTTTGAAGCTGTAAACTGAGAACAGAAATGCTACCTGAGTGAGAGAAGTCCAGAAAGCAGTAGGTTTTATCTTTCCTCAGCCTGCCTGGCCTTTGGTGAGTTTGGAAGTGTTGATAGAATCCTGAGCCCTCTTGGCAGAGAATGAGGGTCAGAAAAAGAGAAGTCCTCAGGCAGGGGGTCAGGTTCCTACTTGCCTCGTTAGGGAGAATTCATCCTTGTCTGTCTGTTTGGCAGGGCACACTTAATCACCGAGACCCAGCATTTCAGCAGTTTGCAGAGGAAAGTGATATGAAGGGACAGCTGCAAGTAAGCCACAACGTGAATCTGAGGAGATCACTCACTTCACTTGGAGGAAAGAGAGAAGGAAGGAAGCCGAGAGCTTAGCAGGGTAAGTTACTTTCCATCAACCTGTCTGCTTGCTTAGTTTATAATTGAGTAAAGTATTTATCACCCCAAGGAGTGTTAATCGCTAATTAAGCAGCTGAATGTGGTCATAATAGCAATGTTTTTAATGTATTTCTTTTCTTTTTCCCTACTCCTTTTGAGCATCCCCAGTGACCAACTTCAGTCCCCTTTCTCCCTACCACCCCAAAGACATTTTGTGTTTGCTGGTGAGTTACAGAAAATTGGATTGGGCCCTCCTGGTCTGGAGATAGAACATGACTGTGGTTAGGTGAAGCTTTGGGCTTTTGATGGTAAGGAGGGAGAAAGATGGGAGATTTAGGTCTGAGAATGGATTAATATTTTGGTTTGTAATTTGGAGATGAAGAATAAGGTTTTTTTTAAGTAATCAAGTTCATATCTCCTCTCCTTCCTTGGTGTTGGTGTTCTCTCATATGCTAGGAATAAATTAGAGTCCAAGTCACTGGGATGGCTAGAAAAAGGTTAGTGATTCCCTTTCTAGGTGGGGTAGATTCTGAATGCTGAAAAATTCTGAGTGCTTAATGCAGTTCTTTCCAACTTCTTCCTGTGTTCCCTCTGTTTTCTCTTCTCTTTGTTTCTGTCAGTTCACACTCCTAGAACTTGGAGTTTCTTTGTAGGCAAGTTAGATCCGAGGAAGACTGGGCCTGGGGTACACAAACTCAGACATGAGCCGGATGATATATATAGATGCAAATACAAAGTGTGGCTTCTCATTTCCAATTTCTTAACTTTCTTGCCAGAAAACTAGCTCACTTGTGTCATGAACATGCCCTAGACACAGAAGAAACTCTGGCATTAGGGATTTTATCACTACCACTCCTCCTCCTCTTCACGCTGTGTGATCCTTTTGACTTCCAGTCAGTTCAACCAACTCCCAGATTGCCAAGAGTTAATCTTCCACTGGAGGAAGACCTTTCCTTAGAAATGCAGATAAGTGAGGCAGTACCTTTCTGACCTTAACTGGCTTCCATTGCAGCAAAAAGGTTTATGGCTTAACATTAGGAAGACATTTATTATAAATTCTGGGATCTAAGACCCTAGAGTTGTCTCAAATACCGGTGGGGAAAAAAGTCCATTCTTTCAAGGTTTAAGAAGGTGTTATTTTGCCTGAGGTAGGGGTGGGTAGATAGAGCAGATAAATTTTTTCTAGAATGGCAGTGATTTGGGAAATGCAGTGACAATCTGTGGTGATTAAAAGTGGAAGGTTGGCTGGTTAGTTCAATAGGTTAGAATGAGTTGTTATAACACCAAGGCCAAGGGTTCCGATCCAGATCCCCATACAGGCCAGCAGCCAAAACAAACAACAAAAAAGTGGAGGACAGAGTCAGGTCAGTTGTTGGAAATAGGGTCCTAAGGTGTGAAAGGCAATTCCATCCACTCTTTAGTGAAAGGGACATGACCCTTAAACTCTAACATAATCTAGTATCATTAGGACCAATTTCTTCTTCATCAGTAGTAATGTAGAAGTTGTGGTATACAGTTGAGCTTAGCTGTCTCTGTTCCACGGGATGAGAGTAGATATTAAAAGGGCGGATGGAAACAGAAGGATGAGGAGAAAGAATGTACAGAGGAAAATACAGTTGACCCTTGAACAACACAGGTTTGAACGGTGCAGGTCTATTTGTGTGAACACGTATAACTGAGTGCTGACTTTTTGACTTCCTATGTGTGGGTTCCACAGGGCCAGACCCTTGAACAACACAGGTTTGAACGGTGCAGGTCTATTTGTGTGAACACGTATAACTGAGCGCTGACTTTTTGACTTCCTATGTGTGGGTTCCACAGGGCCATCTACTTAAGTACTTAAGTTAGTTAACTACTTAAGTAATGACGTGGAGAAAGTTATATGTGGAAGTCAGTGCCCATAACCCCCCATGTTGTTCAAGGGTCAAATGTACAAATTTGTTTTTCTGTTAACCTGAGGCAGGGGTTTATAAGAGCCATGTTGTAAGATATGGATAGGAGTTGGATGATTCTGGGAGTTTTTTGTTATTTTTGCCACCTATGAACACTTCACCTGTGTGATTCTGGAAGTTTTTTTCCTAACATATCTGGATTAAAAGGATCAAATGTCAGACCATTTTTGTAAGAAAACATGATCCCTGATTTGAACTTTAATAGTTGCCTCATTAACAGTAAGACCAACTACTGACAGTTTTTTTATCTGCTATAATTTCTCTGTTCCTGGAGGCAGTTAATCTGGGAATTAATCACCTTTAACCTCTCAATCTCTATGGATACCTTTCTTTTTTAATTGAGATGAAATTAACGTAACATACAAATAATAATTTTATTTTGGTTTTTTTTTCCTTTGGTGGCTGGCTGGCATGGGGATCAATTAATAATTTTTTTTAAATTTTATTTTATTTTGTCGATATACAATGTGGTTGATTATTGTGGCCCATTACCGAAACCTCCCTCCCTCCTCCCTCTCCCCACTCCCACTCAACAACCGCATATCTGTTTGCTTGTTGTATCAACTTCAAGGAATTGTGATTGTTGTGTCTCCCCCCCCCCCAGGTTGTTTGTGTATTTATTTATTTATCTTTAGCTCCCACAAATAAGTGAGAACATGTGATATTTCTCTTT